TAGTGATAAAATGCAATGTGAAACTCTGAAGAAAAATGAACTTAAAAATTCACATTTGTCTTTCATGTAGATCAGCATGACCTCCGGAGCAATACACTGTGATGCTGGGTGTTAGCATCTTAATTCCAACTACTGGATAACACCTACTTCTATACTCTAAAGTTCTCAAGAGTCCCTGGAAGCCGATTTCTGGAAATGCCACATCTGGGCCTGAAATACAGAGAAACTGGACATTTCAACACTCTTCTTTCATACCAAATGGTCAACTGTTATATGTTTCCACAAGCTCTATTATTTATAATTTCACAATATGATTTTTCATTAAGGACTTGCTTACCAAATAATCACTAGAACATGTAAAATATCATTAAGATAATGTCCCCAAGTGACATGATTTTGTGGTTTGTCCTCATATCTCAAATTTGTGTTGGCTTCATGGGGAACTCACTGCTCTTTGTGTTCTATGTGCACATCTATTTCATTCAGTCTCACTTGAGGAAGCCCATAGACTTGATTTTCATGCACCTGACATTAGTCAATGTTTTCAGCATTCTGTTCTCATTGACACCAGAGCTCATGTCATCCTTTGGAGTAAGGCATTTTATGGATGATGTTGGATGTAAAGCAATTTTGTACATACACAGGGTCACCTGGGGTCTTTCCATCTGTACTACATCCCTCTTGAGTATGTTTCAAGCCATCACTATCAGCCCCGGGAACTCTACATGGGCGTGGTTTAAGTCTAAACTCTCTATGTGCATTTTACCCTCTCTCCTGTTCTTCTGGATCCTCAACATGCTGATCTATAACCACATCATTGAAACTCTAAGCCAGAGTTTCTCTAAGCCAGAGTTTCTCTAAGCCAGAGTTTCTCTAAGCCAGAACCAAACTCTAAGCCAGAGTTTCTCTAAGCCAGAACCAATGTCACTGTTGTTGGTTCTGGATATTCTCAAGCCTACTGTCAATCAGTAGCAGTCTAAGCAAAACCATCCAGGGTCACTTATGAGCATCTTAGTGATTCAAGATCTTCTGTTTATGGTCCTCATGGTCTGCTCCAGCCTCTACATGGTCAGTGTCCTCCACAGACACCACAGGAGAGCCAGCATCTCCACAGCCCCAGCCTCTCTTCCCAGTTCTCTCCTGAAATCAAAGCCATCCACACTATCCTCATCCTGGTAAGTTGTTTTGTGTTGTTTTATTGCACAAACAACTTCCTGGCCCTTTATTTGTTTTATCTACCTGAGAAAAACCTGGTATTGGAGAGGATCAGTGGAATTGTTTCTTCATGCTATCCAACCATCTGTCCTTTTGTGTTGAGGAGCAATAAATTTATTTCGCAATTTATTTCTTCCCTTCTGAGATGAGAATGATTATTTTTCAAGGAACATTCACTGGCTGATCTGACACAACAGGCTTTGTTCTGCAACAGAGGAGACACCATATATGAAGGAGAAAAATCATATCGCTGTTGAGCACTTGAAATGGGGATAGTTTAAATTGAAATATGTTTCAGATCTCTGAAACACTCAGATTTTGAAATATTCCTATGAGTAAAATCATTATTAAAATAATCGTAATATTATCAACATTGTATTAATATTTTCACATTTATTCCATGTTTAAATTATGACCCTTTATGTATAATAAGTAAATTACATATATTATTAAAACTAATTTTATCTGCTTGCATTTGCTCTTTTTTAATGACGATAACAGTATATGTAAAATTACATACAAAAATACAATAAGATTACACGTGGAGCTTGCATTCTATTTCTATTAAACTGCCCACCTCTAAGGAATTTCTTTTATTTGTTCAACAAATACAAATTGCCCACATTACATATTCCAGGCAGTATTATTATAGGGGTGGAGTACATCAGTGACCTAAATAGATGAAACATAATAACTAAAGAGATTATATAAAATGTTCATGGTATAGGAAAAATGTATGTACATATGGTAAGGGCTATAAAGAATAGTGCTAATTCAGAGATTGGGAGTTTCAGTCCTTTATATAGAAAAAAATGCATCGATTTCTCTCAACATGTGCATAAATCCATCCATAATGACACCCTACCCTATCAGTGTTTTGCTGATACATTTTTTTATATCATGTACATTTGCCCTTCTCTCCATCATGGCTTCTTCTGTTTTATCAATACAATCTGAAATTTTCCTTTTGACTATATTCCAAATCCAATTTAGCTTTCAACATTAAGCCACAATGTTATCATTTGAGCTTTTCTTTACCATTTTTATGTGCATCAAATATGCAGAAAATTGTACAACTCTTTGAATTTTGACAGCAGACATCCCCAAGTAACCAGCTCCCAGATCAAGAAACAGAATACCTGTAGCTTCCAATAACTTTCTGTACTCACTTCCAGTCATTACTGCCTAAGAGTTTCACTAACTGGAATAACACCATCTACAGGAATCATTTTCAGCATAAATTGTTCCTCAGTAATTTCACAAAGTCTAGATTGAGCTCTGTCTGAAACCTCTCAAATATTCTGATCTTGTTATTCAAGTTCTTGTCTGTGCCAGTGGTGTGCATTTGCAGACCTCCTCCCCACTATTGCTGCCCATGTACTTTGGTTCCCCCTATGCTGCATTTGGTCAGCTCACCTGGAAATAATACTGAAGGAGCGGGATAGAATGCGAATGTAACTGAATGGACTTCACAATACACTGTGCTTGCAAATACAAGGTAAAAATATTGCCAACATGATATATATTCATTTGTTAATGTCAAACATAAACATTTGAAAATGAAAAATATGGAAAAAATAGTATTAGTCACTTTACATATTTCCAAGACATTAACATGGGGAGAGTTAACATTTTGGCACTTCCTGCATGTGTTGTTAGGTTTTGTTTTATAATTGCAAGTTCAATTTGTCTGGCAGAGTTGTCTCCAGGTCTCACACTAAGGAAGGCATGTAAAATGGACTTGTTAAAGGAGTTAAAAAAATAACTCATTTTATACTATATACTTAATTTGGTGAATTTGTCACTTGACATTGTTGTATATTTTCTATACAATTAAAAATGCTTTCTCCAGCCTGAGAGAAAAAATCTCTACTGAAAAAAAAAAAAAAAGTAGAAAAGTTAGCCAGGCATTGTGGCAGGCTCCTGTATTCCCAATTACTTGGAAGGCTGAGGCAAGAGGATTACTTGAGCCCAAGAATTTGAGGTTGCTGTGAGCTGTGACATCATCATCCTCTACCCAGGGCAACAGAATGAGACTCTGTCTCAAAAATAAATAAACAAATAGGCTCGGCACCATAGCTCCATGGTTAGAGCACTGGCCATATACATCAGGGTTTGCAGGTTCAAACTGGCCAAGCCTGCTAAACAACAATGGCAACTACAACAAAAAAGTAGCCCAGCATTGTGGCAGGCGCCTATAGTCCCAGCTCAAGTAGCTGAGACAAGAGAATCACTTAAGCCCAAGAGTTTGAGGTTGCTGTGAGCTGTGACACCATAGCACCAAGGGTGACATAGTGAGACTCTGTCTAAATAAATAAATAAATAAGTAAATTCCTTTTTACATAATTCTTTAATGTGTACCATGTAGCCACGACCCTAAGGTTTCTCATTATTAGTCAGCATTTAGTGCTTTCTTATTTCTCATTATAGGTGCCCTGCCAAGAAATATTTCCCTGCACACAATTTTACACATTGCCTGGTGGGACTTCTACTCCCAGTGAACTTACTGATTAAAGGACTCTTTTCCTATTTAAAGCTAGCATATTTCTGAATGAATTACCAAAATCTTTCACACAATAATTTCTGAAGAGCAAAGAATTAGATTGCCCGACATGTTCTATCATTTCTAAAATATTGAAATTTATTTGCTTTCCAATTTTAAATGAGAAAAAATGATCTCAATCAATTTCAAGTTCTTTAATTGTGAGTTGTCCAATTTTAATATTTTGGGATAGATTTTTTTATTTCAAAACATTAAGAGGGTACAAATATGTCTGTTACATGCATACCTTTATAATGCTTAAATCTGGGCTATAAGTTTGCCCATCATCCAAATAGTGTTCATTGTACCTAATAGGGAGGGTTTTATACCTCCCATCACCCCTCCCCCTTCTTGTTGTTTACATTATTCTATGCCCATGTGCGCCCATCAATTCGTTAGATAAATATGTTTATTCCTATTTGGCAGCCCAAAGAGACCAAGAGTGAAATAAAGAGAATTAAGTCTCATTATGCCCAATTCTACTTTTTGCACACTAAGGCTAAAGTAGGAAAAATTATTTTTCCCTAAATCACATAGACAACAAGAGGTAAAGCTCATTGCAAGCATCAATTTAATATAGTGCTCTTTTCCTGAGTATACTGCAGCAAAATACTTTAACAAGATTCATAATCTTTCTCTGCTTATAGTTCCCAATTTCCTTTGGAAATGTCAAAGTAATCAATGCCAAGCTAAGACTGCCTTCCCCAGGCACTAAGTTGTCTTTAACCAAGATACATTCTTCCTTTCCAACCCTAGTTTTATTGAGGTATAATTGACAAATAAAAGTTATGCATACTAAAGGTGAACAACTTGAGGTTTTGATATATGCATATGTGGTAAAATAATTGCCACAATTAATTACCATATTCATGGAATGACTATAGATTTCTTATTATGAAACATGGAAGTCAAAAGGAAATAGCTGAAATAATTATCAGCTCAAAGTATTATATCAAGCAAAAAATACCACTCAGGAATGAAGGTAAAAAAAAGATGCCCTCAAAAGAAGGAAAAATAAGAGAATTCAAAGCTATCAGATCTCTTCTTTAAAAAAACTACTAAAAAACTTTTTCAGAAAAAGGGAGAAATTATAGAATGAAACCTAGAAACTTAAGAATGGAAGAAGAGCAAGAGAAATGGTAAATCTCTGGGAAAATATAATAGATTATTTTACTCACAAGTTCTTTAAATATTCCCAATGAGCAAAAGTACAAAGTATATAATAATAACAATTTTTGATGGGTTTTAATAGAGAGAGATAATACAGAAGACACCTGCCATTGAGGAGAAAAGGTAATAGGATCTAAATGGTGGTAAGCTACCTAGATCCCACCTTAAGTGATAACATTTTGGTACTAGGATAATAGAAAACAAAAAATAAAATGACTGGCCTCATATATATCCTAAGATACTAATAACTAGACTAAATGTAAGTGATTGAAATTGAAAGGCAGAGATTATCAGAATGGGTTCAAAACAAATCAAAATTTTTTTTAAAAAGCAACCGACTCAACTATATGCTGTTTCTACTAGTAACGCACATCAAATAAATGTTTTAAGCAGATTAAAAGTAAAAGGATGGAAACATGTACCATACAAACATTAATCAAAATGTAGCTATACAAAATGATAGGGTCAGTGTAGAATCCGAATGTCAGGCTTAACTTATTTTTGTGAGGCACAATGCTCGGAAGGCCTATCTCAGAACAACCTGGATAGTCCTCATTCTTCTCCTGATTATTCTGTAGAATTCACTTTCCATCTCTGTGTTCCATGGACCTATCCATGAAAATATGACCCAATAATTCCTTGTACCAATCTGTTACCAGTGACAAAAAGTTTTCTGCTCATGTTTGCATTTTCTCCCATTTTTGCATGCTCTTTCACCAAACATATTTCCATTATTCTAGTAATAATAGCAATGAACAAAATCTTCAAAGCACAGCATATGAAAAAGCACAACCATTAATGAATGCCGTGGGTGTCTTCAATTTAGAGTCCTTGTTAGCCTTCCTGCTTTTATTTGTGAGAAGGCAACACTTCAAATGAGGGGTCCATGAAAATCATTCTCCATGTTTATCAGAAAAAGTTGCTTTTCCAGGCCCTGTCATTCATAAATACATCTGTCTTAACTTCCTTTGCCCTGGCCCTTCAAGAAATGTGTCAATGGATAAAATAGTTATTTTTTTTAACCTTAGTTAGAAAACATTTAAAATGAATATTTCTACTCTCAGATAGGGCGGGGGTAAAAGCATTAGGATACAGTCAATGGGTTACATGTTTATCCAAAAGCAATGGGTCGACATTACCCAACCGGCTGTGTCTTGAACCCTGGAATCAATCATATTCCCACTTACCTATTTCTAATGATAACACTAGATTATCTGTCTGAGTCATTGTACAAACTCTGCTGTCTAAGATAGGATACAAGGTAAGGGTCCCTTCTATAAACACTTTTGAAAAGCAACTCTAGAGCTGAGTCCCCTTTGTTCTTCACCATCCTCAGCAGGGTCTCGTTCTTCCTCTGCCGTGTCTTTTCCTGCTCCACCAGCTCCTTCTCATCCTCAGTGAGTACCTCAAAGTCCTGTAGATCATCAAGCACCCCATTCAGGTCCCCCATCCTGGCTTGCAGGTGCCTGTGGTGCTTTTTCACAAAGGCTGCACCTGGATGGAAGGGAGAGGTGCAGACTCAGAGAGAAACAGCTCATTCACAGGAGTCAGTGTCTATACCAACCTAAGAATCAGGATTCTGGGGTAAGATATATTGCTCCTTGGGCGGTGCCTGTGGCTCAGAGGGGTAGAGCGCTGGCCCCATATACCAGAGGTGGCAGGTTCAAACCCAGCCTCCAGCCAAAAAAAAAAAAAAAGAGAGAGAGAGATTGCTCCATGTCTTATGTCTGTTGTCTAACATTTATGCACACATAAACACAAACATTCCCAAAGAAACTATTTCCTTTGCTGTGCGCAACAAATTAAAGTGCATCCTAATAATGCATCTTCTTCAATCCTCAATTCTGTTCCTCCCATGCATATTTTTAGAGCCTATTTGTTCCAAGTTTGTATTTTTCCTTGAAACTGTAGACTGAACCCTCTCTCACTGTGCTTTCATATAAATATAAATCCCTCCACCAACCAAACAAAAATCTTCTACTCCATAAATGGTCAGAAACTATGGATGATACTAGAGGTATGGAAATGGATTAGGCTGGTTCCTTGCCTTCAGAGCATTTCTGGAAGAGCTATGAAAGAAAAGCTTTAACTAGAGAAATACAACATAGAAGAAATAGGAAGCCTGGGGGGAAGACATCAGATTTTTCTATCATGCAGATTTGGGTTCATGTTGTTTCCTATATAATGTCCATGTAACCTTGGCCAACTCACATCACTTCCCTGGCCTTCATGTTTTGATTAAAATGTACTCTCATTTTTTTAACACAATGATAGAAATGATTGACATCCTGTCATCAGGGGCTATAACCCAAATGGCTTACTTGAATGATGAAATTTCTGTGATGTCAAAGGATTGATCTATAACAAAGTTCATTAGAATATCCCGTCCAGGCTCAGCGCCTGTGGCTCAATCGGCTAAGGCTCCAGCCACATACACCTAAGGTGGCGGGTTCGAATCCCCAGCCCAGGCCCACCAAACAACAATGATGGCTGCAACCAAAAAATGGCTGGCACTGTGGCGGGCGCCTGTAGTCCCAGCTACTTGGGAGGTGGAGGCAGGAGACTCGCTTGAGCCCAGGAGTTGGAGGTTGCTGTGAGCTGTGAGGCCATGGCACTCTACCTAGGGGGATAGCTTGAGGCTCCGTCTCAAAAAAAAAAAAAAAAAAAGAACGTCCCATCCAGTGTCTCCTAAATTTGAATGGTATTGCTGACACTTGTCCTATCACATCTCTGCTAACTGTGTTATTTTTCCATCCCTCCTGTTAGTCCACCAATTTCTCATCAATCTTGTGTTTTGTTGGGATGCCACCAGAGCCTCTCTTATTCCCTCAAGGTTAGATAACAGCTCCCTGTTATATCCTCTAATAAATCTCTTAATTTTTGCTTTGGAACACATATCACAGTTAGATTTTTAAACATTGGTTTTATCATTGTCACTTGGTAAAACATAAACCCAATAAGTGCAGGGTCTATGCTTGCCTTGTCTATACTGTGTCTAAGGAGATGCCTAATATATGATTGCTAATTATTAGACATTTCTGTCTTCCCTGATGCTCCTGGGAGATTCTCTAAAGAAGCCCAAAGTTTACTGACCAGGATCAAATGAAATGTTAAATATAAGGCATGCATATATAAAATACTCAGAATAGCAAGTTTGATAAATTACATTCATCATCATCATTTTTATTATTATAAATGCCACAAAAGATAAATCTAACAAATTGTCTGGGGGTCACAAAGGAGAGGTTGACTAGAATTATGGGTAACCATGTCTTATCTTTTGGTAAAATCTTCACAGGAGAGTTAGTGTCAGGGGGAGATTTGAAGGAGTAGGATTTTGATATTAAATAGGACATGACATCAGGCAAAAAAGAAAAGGAGAAAAATAGATGTCATGCTTTGCAGTGCACAGGGCTGGGATACAGATTTCATTCAAGCCTTGCTGTGGACCAGCTTTTTGAAAGGTGCTGTAGGCTGAGATAATAAACTTTGATTTTATCTGGCAGGCAACAAAGGGTATCTCTTATTCCAAATCTTAAATATGTAGGAAAGATAGAAGCCTACAGTTGGTGCTTCCCAACATGCGGTCACCACCTACAGAGAAGTTCTTCGAATTTCCTTCATGAACTCACCTTTACCTGTACTTGAGTTTGACATCACCACCACTACCCCACCCCCTCACAACTACAGGTGTGAGGCATGATTTTTAATTTTTTTTTTTTCGAGACAGAGTCTCACTTCGAGACACATGTCACCCTCAGTAGAGTGCCATGGCATCATAGCTCACAGAAACCTCAAACTCCTAGGCTCAAGCAATCCTCTTGCCTCAGCCTCCCAAGTAGCTGGGACTACAGGCACCCACCACAATACCCCACTATAATTTTTAAATTATAATCTGCCTCCCTGCACTTTCTGGAAAATGTGGTTGGCAGGAAATGGGACTGTTACCATTTCAAGACAGTGTGACATTCTGAGGAGCTTTCTGTTCATTGGCAGGGATCAGAAGACACATTCTCTTTCTTCTCCTGAGGGTGTGTTGAGACACAAGTCTTGGCACTTCACTAAGTGAAGCCAGAAGGGTAGAGACGTGAAGAAACACTCCCTCTCTGTGATGCTGTTTGAGCCAACAGATCAGCCTCCCAGTCTCACTTCTTGCCCTTGCACTAACCTAAACCAGGACATACCTCTGACATGTTTTCTCCATTTAATTTGAACTTTCTGTCATTTGCCACATAACAGGTGTACAGATACACAGGACTTTGCAGATTGCTGACTTGCATGACTTTTAAAATGAATATGGAGATAAGGACATCAGGTGGTAAGTATGTGCAAGTCTGGATCTATTCTCTGCTCTGTACTAATCCCAGTGACCTTCCTGATTCCTGGCTGTATTTGTCCTTGATTTTTGCAACAGTGATAACCCAATTCCCCATTTCAAATCCACTCCCAGCCCACACTCAACCATCCTCACTGTTTGGAAGCCTCAACACATCATTTTTTGGGTCTTTTTTTTAAACTGCTAACTCTTTGCTCTCAGACTTTAGACTGAAAGTTAAAAATATTTTAACTTTCATTGTTGAACTTCCAACTTCCAGCTTTTTGCTGCATTTCTAGTCTCATGCTTACCCATCCCTCTAAAATGTTTATTTTACAGTTGTATCAAAATACCATATCCCTGCAAACTAATACAGCCTCTTTAGAAAGAAGTATGGAGAATCCTCAAAGAACTCAAATTAGACCTCCCATTTGATCCCGCAATCCCATTATTAGGCATCTACCAAAAGAAAAAAATAATTTTCTGATAAATACCTTTGTACTGGATGGTTTATCACAGCTCAATTTACAGTCACCAAGATGTGGAAACCTAATTGCCCTCCAACTCAGGAATGGATTAACAAACTATGATATATGTATACCATGAAATATTATTCAGCCATTAAAAAAGATGGAGATTTTACATCTTTTGTATTGACCCAGATGGAACTGAAGCACATTCTTCTCAGTAAAGTATCACAAGAATAGAAAAGCAAGTATCCAATGTACTCAACACATTAGAGCCAGCAGATGATCTAAGACACGCCCACATAAGAGAAAAACTCAGTTAAATTCAAGTTGGGGGGAGGGAGAACAAATGGGGAAGAGGGAAGGAGTGTGGGGATTGGTGTGCTCTCACTTAATGAGCACAACATAATGATATATGGCACACCTGTTGGGTGTAGGACACAACTACAACTACACAATTGTAACCTAGTTGTTTATACCCTCAAATTAACCTGAAATTAAAAAAAAAAAAAACCTTTACTTTTTAGTTTCCCAGTTGCAAGATATTTACCCCAATAATTGGCTGTTGCATGTTCCTTTGTATGTACGTGTCCTAATGCCCTCACTTAAGTAAATCATACTTATTGTTTGTGTTTGTCAATCTCTGTAAATGACAAGGATAGAAGGAACTGCTCTGAGTAATGTCAAGCCACTCAAAGACCTCTTGATACCAGATACATACCTCTGCCTTCAGTGTAAACATCTTACTAACCTGAGAAAGCAGGAGAGGCTGCTGTAGTTCCACGCTGGAGATCCGCTAAGAAAGAAGAAAAATTGGAGGCTGAGATAAGATGAATCATATGCCCACATGTAGTTTTTCTAGTCTTTGATACAACTGATTAGAATAATTTAATTCTTTATATTTCATAAGGATCTTGTTTTGCACACTAATATATGAATGAAACTCAACTAAGCCGTGGGTCATTCGCTGCCCATTCAGAAATTGTATCCAAGACAGAAATGCATTTATTCAATATTCTTTCTACTTGTAGGCCAATGTCCTCGAAACTATGAGGACTACAATGGCATTATATCATAATTTCCTACAGGAATTATAGTCAAGGTAAATATATTTTAAACATCAAATATTGCTGGTTGCAGTGCCTCACGCCTGTAATCCTAACGCTCTGGGAGACTGAAGCAGGAGGATTGCTTGAGCTCAGGAATCCAAGACCAGCCTGAGCAATGGTGAGACCCTCATCTCTACTAAAAACAGAAAAATTAGCTGGGTATTATGGTGGGTCCCCTAGTTCTAGCTACTCAGGATGCTGAGGCAAGAGGATTGCTTCAGCCCACAAGTTTGAGATTGCTGTGAGCTAAGCTAACACCATGGCACACTCTACACTGAACAACAGAGTGAGACTGTCTCAAAAAAATAAAAATAAAAAAATAAGGCTTGGCGCCTGTGGCTCAAGTGGCTAAGGCGCCAGCCACATACACCTAAGGTGGCAGGTTCGAATCCAACCTGGGCCTGCCAAACAACAATGATGGCTGCAACCAAAAAAAATAGCCAGGCACTGTGGTGAGTGCCTGTGGTCCCAGCTACTTGGGAGGTGGAGGCAGGAGACTCGCTTGAGCCCAGGAGTTGGAGGTTGCTGTGAGCTGTGATGCCATGGCACTCTACCCAGGGGAACAGCTTGAGGCTCTGTCTCAAAATAAATAAATAAATAAATAAATAAAACAAAATAAAATAAACATAAAATGTCAACATTAAATGAGTAAATTTCAACATGTATTTTTTTTTTTTGAGACACAGTCTCACTATGTTGCCCTTGGCAGAGTGCCATGGTGTCACAGCTCACAGCAACCTCCAACCCCTGGGTTTAAGCAATTCTCCTGCCTCAACCTCCCAAGCAGCTGGGACTACAGGCACCCACCATAGCGCCTGGCTATTTTTTGTGTTGCAGTTGCCATTGTTGTTTAGCTAGCCCGAGCTAGTCTCGAACCCACCAGCCTCGTTGTATGTGGCTGGTGCTATAGCCACTGGGCTATGGGCGCCAAGCCTCAACATGTATTTTTAAACAGGATGGTCCTAGGACTGTTGATGATGCAGAAATTCGCATATACTCACAAGTTCCTAGATGACTTACCAGTTGGAGCTACTATTTTGGAAAGTAATTAAACCATGTTTCCCTCAAGGATTTCAACATAGTCTTATACTTTCATTTCAAATCCCTGGTGTTGTTTAAAGTTCTGATGAATTTTTGGCCCCCTCCTTTGGCAGCAGATCATCTCCATATACACCAACACAGAAGGAATCGGAGTTTCCCACAACCCGAGAGGCCTCACAGTTGGATTTCTGGTTATTTAGCTTCCAAGCAGAGCAAAGACCCAGCTGTTCAGTTTCACCTATTTTATCCAGAATTTGCCTACTAAGGAACCAGCATGATAATGACACCTGGCAAAATCTTTTCTAAATGAATGAAAAGTAAACAATGCAAAAAATATTCTAATGTTTAAAGAGCAATGGAGGGTGTGGTGACATTTGGTTGTTTATCAAAATACATGTTATATACTGGCTGTAAACTAGACTGCATTGTACCCACTGAGGATGTAAGCGATGGGGAATAAGACACCTTCACTGCTTCTTTCCATATCAGAAATCACAAAGAAGCCCAAGACTTGCACAAAAATAAAATCTCTTACAATTTGAGATGCTAAGACAGTTTATAGAATGGAGGCAGGACTGGGAGTTGGGGGGAGATGTGGAGATGAGGCCTGGTGGGGTGAAGTGTCTCCCAAACCTGCGATAAGACTGGAGCCTCGAGGTCCAGCCCCAGCACCTGTCCATGACCTAAACAAGGTGGTTTTCCTGGAGAACTGGATGCCAGAAATGAGGCTGATCTCCACCCCTCTGGGCACTGTTCCTAGAAAAGGGATGGGATGGGATCTGATTCAGTGGGACGAGGACTAGTTGATGACCACAAGGGGGCAGTCAAGGCTATCAATGCGGCGACTATACTGGCCCAATGACTGAAACGTCAGCAGAAACAGACAAAACTCATTTGAAATTGTTGAAAAACATTTCACAATATGTGCTCATACGTTGTTCAACTATTTTCTTATTCCTGAGTATTCAGGTTGGTTTTATCTTTTCCCACTACAAACAATACTTCAAAGAATATCATTGCATATTATTTCCCTGGGTATGGATGCTTTTATTTTATAGCATAGATTTCTAGAAGTGGATTTTTGGTTAAAAGACAAGTTTTTAAATTGATGTACATCCACTTTACTACATAAAAGGGTAAAGCAATTTATAGCTCTTATGCAAATTTTATCTTGTCCTCCTAATATAGCTGCACTGAAATTTTTTCATCATATATCACCCAAGACAATCATCTGCTACTATTAAAGACATTGATTTTGGCTCGACGCCTATAACTCAACCGGCTAAGGCGCCAGCCACATACACCTAAAGTGGCGGGTTCGAATCCCCAGCCCGGACCCGCCAAACAACAATGACGGCTGCAACCAAAAAATAGCCGGGCATTGTGGCAGGTGCCTGTGGTCCC